CCGAAAGGGCAGATCTGCTGGCACTAACAATGTCTCCTGCTGTGGAGAACACCCTCTCGCTAGGGACAGAGGTAGCAGATACAGCCAGGTAGCGCTTTACTAACATGGCAACATAAGGATATTTGGCGTTTGTAATAGCTTTGGCTCGGTCTGAACTTGTTGCGAGTGGTGGAGGCTTAAATGCTAGTGGGAGTTGGGTTTGCACTTCAGTCTTTTTTCTTTTGGTACCGGTGATATTCACGTTTGGGTGATGCCTTTTCAAATGAGTGTGCAAGTTTGATGTATTGCCAGCCGCGTAACCAATGTTAGTTGAACAATCCCGACAAACAGCTTTGGTTCAGTCCACCTGTCTTTGTCCGTCATCCTTGTACGTAACTGCGAAACCAAAATGTTCCCAAACCGGAGACTTCAATGATGCTGGAGGATTTTCGAGCTCAACTTTATCTGCGTTCGCCATTTCCTCAAATTACTGACTACATTTGAACGCATCCCTTTGACCAGCTCTCATAGTATGCCTCTCGTCCAATGAAATGACTTGGTCGCTCTATGATATATATACCTAAGATTACTTCCAGAAAGTTGTTCATGTTCTCAATTTTTTACATTTAACGTTATATTCGTTCGGTACCCTTCGGTTCACACGTGTACCGAACCGAAGGGCCCGTACCGAATAATTTCAGTACGGGTACGTGTACCGTTACACTGCGATTTAAATCAGCATATACTTCTGCCAGGGGATGCCACCCCTCAAAATCTCCTGCCACCCTCTTGCCACCCCATGAATATTTGTCTAGATCCGCCCCTGTACCAGTGGTTCTCAAAGTGTGGGGCGCGCCCCCCCTGGGGGGCGCAGAGGCATGCCAGGGGGGGCGCGAGAGACCAGGAGGAAAAATTGTTATATATAACAAAAAAAAAAGATTTAAAAAAAAAAAAAAAAAGTTTAATTATTGATTCGAAAATAATATGATGCAGTACTATTACATCTGGGTCTCTCTGTTTCATTAAAGCTCGGCTCTGTGTGTGTGGAACGAGCCATTTTGTGTGCGTGAGCGAGAGAGAGAGCGCACCGGTACCGGAGATCGTTGCTGTTAGCTTCTGGTGCTAGCGAGCTACGCTAACAGATATAAGGAGTTTTTAAACAACAAAGTGGAGGAGAGTCCTCTCCTGTCAGACTGAGAGACTCAGTGAGCTAAAGGACTCTCAGTGTTATCTCAGTGGGTCTCAAACGTTTGGGTCACGTTTATAATGATCATTATAGTTATAAAAAAATAAGAGAATAAATGAAAAACAGGTTTGAAATACTATATGACAGTAAAAAATAAATAAAGTTTAAAAGGGTGATTTGTAAAATATCCATAAAGAAAAAGTAAATCTGTTTACAGTTCTGTTTCAAATGGGTGTTGAGAGATGTATCTAGATCTCTTCATTTTGCTCTCAAAGTGCACCAGATTGATGCTTTAACTTCAATATTTAAAAATAAATCTTCCCGGGGGAGCTTGCCCCCGGACCCCCCTATGTGAGGTCCACACACCACCTGTACAAATAGCACTTTACCCCTGCTTACACCTATATGCCGTGAGCTGATGATCGAGCCTTCATTGTAACAGTCACACTGTGTATTTGCGTGGGGAGTGTTGCAGTAGAACATTCCTCTGTAGCGCCCGGTACATTCATGGGAAACCCTAAATGTTTGAGCGCCCTCTATGAAACGTCAAGCTACCCCACAGCACCCCCAAAATAAATCTCTGGCGCCGCCACTGAGCCCGACTATTTGTGTTGGGGGGGCCCGACTTTTTTTTTTCTCCAAAGGGGGGGCCTGACAGAAAAAGTTTGAGAACCACTGTACTATACAGAGATGCTGTATGAGAAACCAATGTGATTTTGGAACATTGAACAATGTAAATCTATTCTAGTATACCTCAACAATGGAATTATGATCAGTGGAAATGGCCATGACATGTGACATCTGCTTGATGGATTGAAATAAAGTAGGTATCATTATTTCTAGTGGGTGAATCAAACTAGGTTTTTCTTCTAGTTTGTCATTTGTCGTTTCAATGAAATGTCTCGACAACTGTCAAATAGTTAGCCATGACATTTTCTGCACTCATTGCAGCCACCCTTAGAAATGTTTTAATGATTTTTGTTGATCAGAAATCCTTGGTTTTTCTTCTATCATGCCCACTAGGTCAAAATGTATCATATTATTTGCATAATACATGTAAAAATGCTTTCCAATCAGCCTCTGCTACACTTAGTGTAAAGTGCTAGTAAGCAAATTAGTTGAGTTGCTAACATGTTAAACTAAGATAGCGAACAGGGTTTCAACATTTTAGCAGCTTATCATTAGCATGTTAACATCATCACAGTGAGCATGTTAGCATATTTGTTCAAGCATTCAGCTAAAATGCACAGTGAGACTTTTTAATCTTGTGAGTCTGTACATTTAATGATCTAATCAATGCTGAGGACAATTAATGAGTGTACTAATGCCTTTAGTATTGACAAAATCATATAAGCTGTCAGATATTAGACATTATACCACTTTGGCAAGACATTGTTTGTTTCTGAAGTAAATATGCAGGATAATGAAGTTCAAACATCTCAATATCTGTTATATTCTATGTACTGTCATGAATAATCAAGGTGTTTCTTGCCACATTCCCTGCATCTATTTCCCTCCCCGAGAACGGCGTGTGCAGAAAGGTTAAACAGACGCGAACATGCCATTTAATCTTCATGCACCTATCAAGACGAGGCATCATTAACGAGCCTTTTAGGAGATGGTGAAAATAAATAGTGGGATTTTATGCAATGCGATGCAAGAAATGTCCAACTCATTGCCTATTCTTCTTTTCTTAGTTCAAGAAAATCAATTTTAAGGATAAATGAGACTTGAGTCACAGTGAACCTGCATTTTGATTGCATCTTGCTTTGTTAATGTTTTGCATTTCCTAGTGAATATAAAAGAGACGGTTTGATTGGACAGAGGAGGATTAGGATTATTCCAAAAATGTGCTTTGAAGAAATGCGGAGGTTTTATTCCCTGTTGTGAGATTTTATTGAAGATGTACAAATAGAAAAGTGATATGGTAACTGTAATATCTATATATTGTGATGTTTATAAGGTAACGTTATCAAGTGGAAGAACACTTTATTTTCTCTGTATGAACAATTTGTTTGTGGTTTGGTCCTGTCCTTTCAAACGGACTCCTCTTTCCCATTTGATGGACAAAATGAGCAGGTTCTCCATCTTTATAACAAAACCTCCCTTTTCATTTTGCAGACCGAAAAAAGTTAAATTGGTTGAGAGTGTTACCGGCTGTTTCCCAAAACTGCAGGGCAAGCAGAACGGACTCAAGAGGAAACCAAGAGATGCAGAAAATAGTCAATGGGATACAGCATTCACCCACCATTTCAGAACATTACAGTTTCATGATTTTAGGGGGAAGATGCACTGAGTATTCATCGCCAATGTGTACTTAAGGAGCTGAGGAGTTGATGCACTACTGTCGCTTTAATAATTCATTACACTGACACTAAAAACCACAGTATAGCTGGTCAGTAAACACCCCACTTTGTTATCCAGTCATATTTGGTTTCATGTTAAGTGGTTTTGGAGGCCCTTGGTGTTGGATGCAAGACCGTTCAGCTAATGTATATCACATAGAACATAGAAGCCCCTTTAATGCGTTAACTGTAACACACAACAGATACATACACACACACACACACACACATACAAACTACGCACACACTGAGCAATATATATCATTGAATCAGAGGCAATACTCTACTCCCTTTAATTAACTCAAAGTGCATTACTGAAAGACAACACAAGCTTAAATGCCTAAAGTCCAAGGTTTACCATAGATTTCCCACAATCCTCAATAGAAAGCATTATTAAACCACATCTGCGCAGTGTGGATAAGCCATGTTCTATGGTTTATCCATCTGATATTTCACACATTATCCACATAATCCAACTAATGCTATAACATACAGAAAGGCGGTGCCAAAAGAGCGGCTGTATTGCAGCAGGCATTGAATGTATCAGACAGCAAAAGGTTTATTAACTGAGATCATTCATGTGAGAGCAGAAATGAGAATGCTGATCAGCCTCCTCCATCCAAAGCAGCGCCAAACGGGCTTAATCGAGAGGCACGATCGCACTGCCTTTAATCACCCATAACACACAGGTGGAGCAAATAACTGTGGAGCATCCTAAACGCTATCAGAAGCCCTCCTGGAGTATTCCTGGACTGGGGGGAGGGGTCCTGAGGAATTATCTCGCCCCCTGTCCCAAACAAGCGCCATGCAGGCTCGTTTTACGCGGCTCTCGCATATGGTTAATTAAGCTGTTGTGCACCTCTGCTTTTACAGTGGGAAGGCGATACTTCTGCAGCCTGCGCGAATTCCTCTCCGGGACATATAACACACAACTCACAACACACACCACACACACACGCAGCAGGAGCAAACAATTACGCACGAATGCAACTCTGGGTTCACCAACATGTCCGAGCCCTTTCCATACTGTATGTGTTTTGATGACCATTTGGAGCTAGTGAGTTTGGATGTGTATGTGTGTAGGTGTGTGTGTGTGTGTGTGTGTGTGTGTGTGTGTGTGTGTGTGTGTGTGTGTGTGTTGGTGTGTGTGTGTGTGTGTGTGTGTGTGTGTGTGTGTGTGTGTGTGTGTGTGTGTGTGTGTGTGTGTGTGTGGGGGGGGGGGGGGGGGGTCGTCCTGCGTTGGCAAATGGCGTAACTTCACATGTTTCCCCTGTCAAGTTGACACAGCTGGGAGCCCCGCTGACAGCACACCGACCTGCGCCTGATGCTCAATGGAAAGCTGCGCCAATGAACATCTAATCGCTGTCTTCTCCACGTACAGTGAATGGCATGCACTGAAAGGATAGTGAGCGTTGAAACAATGCAAAGGAGCACCTGCCATGTACAGTCAAACTCCCTCCCCCACACAACCGCTTTTTGAGTGTCCTTACCTTAAAGTCGCGGTTTTGTTGGCGATGTTCTCCCTCTACGTTATCTTCGCTGGAGTAACAGAAACAGAATCACACGCCTATTCCGCAGCTCCCCGATCACTGTGTGGAGGAGAACGGAGGTATCAGAGAAACAGCAGTGAGAACCAGCGGTGCCTCATTCCCTATCTCTCTCCCTCTCCCTCTCTCTGGTTCACAGGCAGGGCTCACCACTGAAATATTACCGGCAACCGATTGGTCCACAGGATCCTCAGCGGCCCCTCTGCGCTGCTCTAGGAGGGGCCAAATAAAACCGCGGGGACCGGGAAGGCCATCACACTGCAAATGAATCAATCTTGCAGCCCATTCAGCTACAGTATAATGCATGGTGTTTTGTTTGATTAAAAAGAGTAATGTATGTTTCTATTCTATAGCAAGACCATCTGACACGTGTTTCCAATGCATTTCGTCACTGCAAAAAAAATGCTTTCTTTATTGGTTGCCAAATGCAGTAGGCTACTTTGCTCTTAAAACCATACCTGCCTTTACAAAAGTAATACTTATTACTGACTCATAGGTTAATTATTGGAGGATCAAGGTCCTCTTAGATTTCCCAAGCTGTATACCTGTTATGCATTACGGTATGATTAAAAAATCAGATAAATGTCCATCTAAATATTGACAATAAACACACAGGATCGCGGTCCTCGGAGTAAAACACCTCAGTGATGACTTTAGCAGCGTAGCCGCCCATTCTGAATATGCAATTACGTCAGGCACTTAACTTAGACAGAGCTATTGTAAATGGGTCAGAGCAGAGAGAGAGAGAGAGAGAGAGAGAGAGAGGAGGAGGAGAGAGAGAGAGAGAGAGAGAGAGAGAGAGAGAGAGAGAGAGAGAGAGAGAGAGAGAGAGAAAGAGAGAAAAGAGTTACATTGTGTGTGAGTGTGAGTGTGTGTGTGTGTGTGTGTGTGTGTGTGTGGTGTGTGTGTGTGTGTGTTGTGTGTGTGTGTGTGTGTGGTGTGTGTGTGTGTGTGAGTGTGTGTGTGTGTGTCTGTTTGTGTGTGCTGTGTGTGTGTGTGTGTGTGTGTGTGTGTGTGTGTGTGTGTGTGTGTGTGTAAAAAGTAGTTTTCAATAGGCCTTAGGGCCATTTCATGATTGCAAGCAGGGCCGGACTGACAATAAGTCAGGCCGGGAATTATACACCCATGTGCCGTTTTCCTGGATTTATTTGTGAATATGTACAGCGTTGCTGCCCATAGTGATAGCCCTATAGTTTAAATATACTAAACTGTAAAATGTTTGGCTGTAAAATTACAGTAAATTACTGGCTACTAGTTGCATGGATTTCACAGTAATTTACTGTAAATAGTTCACAGTAATTTACTGTATATATTTTACAGTTAATTAGAATAAAAGTACAACTAAATACTGTGACTTTACAGTTGCCATGCCCATGGAACTACTGTGATATAGCAGTACAGAGCTGTGGTATTATGGTACTTTGCTGTACATAAATTACAGTAATTACCTGTATGTTCACACTATTACTGTAGAAGTAATGCAACACAGTAGCCAGTAATTTACTGTAAATATACAAATCTAAATAATACGATAATATATTGTAAATTTGACTGGGATTTTACCATATACACAATTCAATCAGCTCAATCAACAAAGAAAAACAAAGAAAATGCCCATTTCAACTTTGTATTACTCCATTGAAGTGCAAAGTACATTTCACAGTGGAAATGTTGTTACGGACCCAACCTCTACTCCGCGGTAGTGGCTCGTGCGGAGACTCGCAACATGAAAGAATACACGCAATAGCCGGTACTTGGTAACGAGCATTTATTGATAATCAGCCGTTTGCTCACACAAGCGAAACAAAAAGAGGTCTGGAGGACTGGCCAAAAGGAACAAACAGAAGGAGAGAACCCGAGCCAGCCACACCACGGACCGTAGGATCCAGAGCTCCCCCCCCTAACCAGAAATCAAATATAAACCCTATGGGAAACAAAATAAAGTCGCGAAAACTGGACTATCAGGTCCTCCAGGCTAAACATAAACACATCTGCAAAAATATGGCCTACAGCTCAAAATGGCAAAGAGGTATTCTAAGGAGAGTGTCTCCCGCGTTAGGATAGGCGAGACATCCTTCTCCTCCAGCTTCTCTTTATATATAGACACGAGTGGAATTTGGAACACCTGGGCAGAGGCGGAGCCAGGGAGACAGAAAACAAGGAGGGGAGCACTTAACACTTGTCTACACAGACATCCACTCAAAGTCAACACGTTTTCTGAAGAATGTGCTGACATGGGGGTTTAAATTGCCATGCCTCTTTTTGGCTTTCGAGCCCATCTCAAGTTTAATGCCCAGGAAGCACCTGAAAAGAATAGGCCAAGACCACAATTTCACTTTTACATAGATGTATATGTTGCCTCATTTATTTTAAGGCACATGCAGCGGTGCCCCTTTCAATGTAAGTAAAACCTGCACCAAAGAAAGAAATTAGTATTTAAAGCCAAGCAAGAGCGATAAAAGCAAGAAAATCACTTAATTTGTTGTGTTATCACAGAGGATGGTCTGAATACAGTATTGTACTGTGAAATAATACAGTAACATGTTGTGAAATCCTGGTAATCATTGATCCTGTACATTCACAGTAATTAACTGTGCCTGTATTGATTTCACTGTGAAATTCAAAATTACAGTATTATATTGTGAACATTACAGGTAAAGACTGTAAAGTGGTAAAACAGTAATTTATTGTAAAATATTACAGCTAAATATTGTGAAATCATGGTAATATTTTACAGTGTATCCAATAATAAACATATGGACAGGGGTTACTATTTAAAAAAACTTGCAAATGTATTTGGGAACCTATGAACATATTTTAAGTGGGGGTGGACCTCAAATCCTCTAGGGGGGTCCGGGGGCAATTAATTTTGGAGTTAAATGCATCAATCTGGTGCACTTTGAGGGGGAAATAAAGAGACTACATCTATGGAAACACCCATATGAAACAGAACTGTATACATTTAAATAATCATAAAATCATAAGAACATGGCCATAACCAATAACATACCATATCCAATATTATTATGTTTTGGTTCATTTATAGTTGTGAGTGTCTGGGCTCCTGAATCAGCCTCTCTTGTCTCCCTCCTCTCCCCCTGCACCTCTTTGAGGCAGCAGTAAAGACTAGTTTTAGTTCTAAGTTAAGTTTTAAAAGTGTATCTTACATTTGTTCACCTTTTTAAAATGTTTTTTGTTTTTATTCATGGGTATTTTACTAATCACTCCCCCCTCAAATGGAAATATGTGTTTACATAAATGGTGACCAAAACGTTTGAGACCCATTGAGATAACTTAGACTAAGTTAATCTAAACACTCAGAGAGTCCTTAACCTCACCTGAGCTGTAGTTATCTCTCTCAGTCTGACAGCAGAGGACTCTCCCTCCACCTTATTGTTGAAACAGCTCCTTATATCTGTTAGAGCAGCTAGCTAACCAGATGCTAACAACAAAAAATACAAGTAGGCCTAACCGGTGCACGCTCTCTCGCTCGCTCGTGCCACACATACACACACCCTCCCGAGCTTGAATGACACACCAATCGAGGGCTTTGATTTATGATCTGTATGACAGTGGCCATGTCGGCAGGCCACATCATGTAGAAAGACAGTCGCCCTGTGTGAGGCAGACCCACATTTGCGCAGCGTTGCGTTCACAATACATACAAAAAACAAGTAGTATTAATAAATCAAATGTTCCTGATCTTTTAAGCTTAATGTTAAAAATGTGTTAATTTTTCAAGCAGGTGTCTCATTACAATGTGTGAGGTAAAGAGAAGGCAGTGACAGACTGAACAGGTTTGCATACGTTTGTGTGCAACCTGGTTTTTTTCAGTTCCTAAAGGGGAACGCCACCTTCACAGGCGCTGTGCACTGCGTTAATTTCTCTTCATGCTGCATAAATACATTCATCGCTGCTGCTATCACAGGGACAGAAACAGAGGCTCCTCAGAAGTCAGTGCAGAAGGACCTACAGTACACCCACGAACCTTTTAGGGTAAAGGACCCTTTAAACTGTGGCCATCATGTTGAGATAAGAACCTACACCAAACTAACATAGCCTACTGTATTGTCCCTCTCTGATCAGCTGTTACGTGCTCCCCTCCTTGTTGTATTTTCTGTCTCCCTGCTGCGCAGGTGCACCTGGTCTGCCCCTGGCTCCGCCTCTGCCCAGGTGCTCTTAATTCCACTCAGCCGGGTTATAAAGAGAGATTGGAGGAGAAGGATCGGTCGCCTATCCTAATGCCGGAAGACATTCTTCTTGTGATGGTCTCTCTGCTGCTTTTGAGCTATAGACCCCATTGCTGCTGATGATTTGATGTGTAGCCTGGAGGACCTAGTAGTCTAGTTTTCCGTGTCTTTATTTTGTTTCCCATAGGGTTTTGTTTGATTTCTGGTTAGGGGAGGGAAGCTCTGGGTCCTACGGCCCGTGGTGTGGCTGGCTCGGGCCCACTCCTTCTTTTTGTTTCTTTTGGCCAGTCCTCCAGACCTCGTTCGTTTGCCGGATGGCTTGTGTGAGTAAACGGCTGTACATCAAATAAATGATCGCTATCAAGTACTGGTTTTTGGTGTGTTTTCTTTTATGTTGCGGGTCTCCCCACGAGCCACTACCACGGAGTAGGGAGCGGTTCGTAACAATACTGGCCAATGAGGCAACACATAGTTTACCCTCTTTGGGGTTTGATAAAGATTCATGGTAAACCAAAGCACTTTCAAAATGAACATGAGGTCTAGTAAAAAATGACATTATTCGATGGCCAACTGGCAACCATTACTCCTGCACTTTAATTTACAGCTGCAGCCCTTTAAGAAACAAAAGCACTGTTTACTAATGAACAGCGGTGACAGATGTGGAACAGCTTGGTTGCATTGCCAGCATTTGGTTTCAGCACCATGGTCAGTGACACTGATGGTGTTACTAACTTTTTCCACCAGAATGCTGATATTAAAAATAAATGATTTGACTTTCAGCATGAATGTGTCAATTCAACCATTTCAACAACAATTCAGAGTGGTGACTGAGACTGAGAAATTGATATAAAGGCCATTAAATGTTTTAGGCTTAGTTTATTTGGAGAGAAATGTATTTTTCTCCTGGACGA